CACGTGCCCCGCTCCGTAGGTGTCGGGCCGCGCCGTAGGCCCGCGGGAGCTGGAGGAAAGGTTTGGGAGTGTGCCCTTAGAGAGTGGGCCCGGGTCTTTTGGGCCGGAGCTCTGCCCTCTCGTTCCGGAGAACTTGGGAGCGCCCCGGGCCGTAGGGGCCTGGCTCGGCATTGCTGGGGGTCGAGAGCCATGTTAGGAGGTGGTGGTGGTGGTAAGTTCGCGCTGCTGGGATCTAACAGGTCTAGGTAACAGGGTCTTGGGGGTAAGTGAGGCACAGAAATACTGCGCTGCAGAATGGAGAGAGTATCTTTCCCTCCTTCATAACTAAATCTTGTATAGTATTTATAACTATAAACTAGATATAATTTTGTTAGGGTGCTGCCTTAATGCTGTGAGTCAATACTTGAGAATGTAAAGAGTGGTCCTGTTTTGTTTAGTGTGAGTTGTTAATTTTGGGCATAAAACTAAGATTTTTAGGTTGTTAAACAGAAACTCATTCTGCCAGTGCAAAAATGAAGTTCTGCACTAATACACATTTGGGTTTTTTTAGAAAACAGCCACTGCTGTTGCTCACTGCAAGAGAGGAAATGGCCTCATTAAAGTGAATGGAAGACCTCTGGAAATGATTGAGCCGAGAACTCTGCAGTATAAAGTGAGCATCCATCCCCCAGCCCCCTGGATGTTAAAAACCCTTTATACACATAATTGCTTGGGGATGGAGAAGAGTTGCTCGCCTTACTGACAGCAATAAGTTTTCGGTTGTGTGTTAACCTAATTACCTGAAATGTAGATGCTGTTATGAAAATGCAGAAAACTGAGTTCCTGTGATTGCCCTGTCAGGAAGGGTGGGCTTTTTGCTTAACTGGGTTCGTGTATGGTAATGTAACTACGTGAACTATTTTCAGCACTTCACATTTATTTCTTAAATTGAAATGGATGACTTCAAATCCTCCTTTTGAAAAGATTGTTTAGGACTCAAAATAGCTGTTTGAACACTGCAGAGAGAATCTAAATCTGACTAGATAAAGTGTAATAAATAGTGGAGAAAACCACCTACAAATTACTTCAGATCTTCAGCTTTAATAAAGTTGATTTATTTTTCTGATGTAGTTATGGCATTCTACTTAAACCGTTCTCTTGCTCTTGATTCCTGTGTGCATATGCTTTGCTATTAGTATTTCTGAAACTTAAAAAGAAAATAACTTCAAGACTTCTGTAAATTTATTTTATAACAGCAGTAGCAGATGTCAAAGAACTCTGCAAGAGGTGTATGTCGTTTGGGGGTATGCTTGTAAAATCAAAGCTCCATTTTTCCTAACATTCAATAACTTCACATCTAGTAAACCTACTGCAAGCTCAAATCCTTGTTGTTCCTAATCACAAATTATTTTTCTTTCTGTGTTTTGTTTCCCAGCTGCTTGAACCCGTCCTCCTCCTGGGAAAGGAACGATTTGCTGGTGTTGACATCAGAGTCCGTGTAAAGGGTGGTGGCCATGTAGCACAAATCTACGGTATGATTTTTGGTGGGATCTCCGGTGTGGGCTGGAACAGGTCAAGCCACATATTTGAGAGCCTTGAGTTTAGAGTAGTAACTTCTGCATCTCAACGTTGTGTTTCTTTTTCCACTGGGCAAGGGAAAGCCCTTTTCACAAGGGCTTATTGGTTATATTTGGTGCAAAGCTCTAGCATCTAGAGTAAGTTGAATGAAGTAAATTGTTGAAATTTTGAGGTAATATGAAGAAACGATCTTTGCATCTTGCAGCGTGACAGGACAGTTCAAGGGCAGCTGAGCAGAAAGATTTTTGGGAGGGGACTGTATCTTTACAAATTATACCTTGCCTTGCAAACTTCCAGGTTGTTCAGGAGCAGCTCTCAGCTGACCTGCAGAGCTAGGCAGTGTAGCCCCTTGCAGAGAAGACCGAGGGCGTCCTTGTGGTAGCTGTGGATAGAGTTGCTCTTCAGGAATGGTAGATTTGCTCTACTGTTCCAGTTCGGGTGTACGTTAGTGAGGTGGAGCTGAAGCTCTATAAGGAGCAGAGATGTGTTTCAGTCTCAAAGTTGATTGCATTCATTTTGCAGAAAATTTAGGTTTTCTTCTTGTTCTTCATGTTCTAACAGATCACAGCCTGATAACATCTTCACAGTTACTCCCGTACTCCTGGTCTGAGTTCCGAGTAGTATGTTACTGTGCTACCAGCTTGTTTTATTGAGGTGTGCTAGAAGAACTCACACCATCCTATTGTCCCTTTTGCTTCCTTGGGCTTTGAACACATTGATCAATTTTATCCTTGTTGAAAAGTATAGACATTCCAGAGAACTGTGTTTCTAAGGATTTTGGAAGTTGACTGCTTGGTAGAGGATGAACCTAGTTAGTACTCAGGAGAGAAGGTGATTGAGACAGCCCTTGTCCAGTTCCTTGGCTAGCTGGTAGTTGTCAAATCAATGCATGAACTGTGGGTGGCCCCTTGGCACAGATTTCTTCAGATTTGCCAAAGTAAAGGTCACATGGAGTATGTGGGAGGGGACATTAAGGGGGGGCGAAAGGACAATTTGGCAGAAAACAAGACTGCAAGTTTCTCAGATAACTGGTGGTTTGTGTTTAATTTTAAAATACATTTGCAATCCTCACTGATCCATTGTCTTTACTTAACAGCTATCCGTCAAGCTATTTCCAAAGCATTGGTGGCTTACTATCAAAAATGTAAGTTGTTTTGATTGTTATATTAGCCTTAAGTGGAAACGTGTGGCTTCCGGTAGTTTTGGTGCAGAAAATGCTAATACGGATTTGTTCCATGTGAAACTTCTTAGACTGAGGTTAATTTGTTTTTTTCTTTAAACAGATGTTGATGAAGCTTCCAAGAAGGAGATCAAGGATATTCTAATCCAGTATGATAGGACTCTGCTGGTTGCAGATCCTCGCCGTTGTGAATCCAAGAAATTTGGAGGACCTGGTGCTCGTGCACGCTACCAGAAGTCTTACCGTTAAAATTGTTCTGCGGGCATGTGACAGTCAATAAACATAAAGAGAATTTGATAATTTTCACGTTTCTAAATTGTATGTTTCTGTGTGGGTAGATAGATTATTTTTTTTTTTTTACTGTGTGTAGACTTAAGATTAATGCACAAATTGATCAGTATTAAATCGGAGAGCTATTGGCAGTTCTCTTTTATCCCTTCATAGTAAGTCAGTCTGGATAGAGAGGGTCTTGGGAATCTTTCAGTCTGGAGAAGAGTTGGCTCTGGGGAGACCTCACAGTGCCCTTCCAGTACTTGAAGGGGGCCTACAGGAAAGGTGGGGAGGGACTGTTGATCAGGGAGTGCAGTGAGAGGACAAGGGGTAACGGATTCAAACTGAAAGAGGGGAGATTTAGATTAGATATTACGAAGTTCTTTACTGTGAGGGTGGTGAGGCACTGGACCAGGTTGCCCAGAGAAGCTGTGGCTGCCCCCTCCCTGGCAGTGTTCAAGGCCAGGCTGGATGGGGCTTGGAGCAACCTGGTCTAGTGGGAGGTGTCCCTGCCCATGGCAGGGGGTTGGTACTAGAGGATCTTTAAGGTCCTTCCAACCCAAAGCATTCTGTGATGCTGTGAATAAAGAAAAGCTTTCTCCTGTTGATGGGTGTGTGGTTATGAGAACATAAAGATGGCTTACATCCTATTTTTTTTGTAGGTATGTGCGATAGCGTAGCAGCTCACTAAATCAGAGTTCAATCTGCCTTTCTGGCAACTCTGAACAAACGTGGACCTTTTCCAGTACGCAGATGGCCACTCTTCTTGGTGTTGGGAGCCACATATGAAAATGTCAGCCTGAGCCTGGTTACAGACTTAGTCCATGATGCACAAGAGCGGGGCTCTGACACCTAGCTGGGAACTTCTCTATTGTGTGTTAGGGGACTTGATGTAGCGTGGCGCCCTAGCATACTGCAGCATGTGAGCGTCTTTCTGCAGATACTTCAGCGCTGGCAGTTTGTGGTCTTGCAAAGGGCTTGTGTTTTCCTTGGGTACTCACCTGAAATACCTCACTGAGAGTGAAGTTCCAAACACTGCTGTGGAATACTATGTGGCAGTGAGTACTGTCCGTCTGCATGAGCTACTTTTGTTTGTGTGTGGGAAGTGGCAAGGAATTTACCCCCTTGAGGGTAACTCAGTATAGGTATGCATATAAGATCTATATGCATAGTGGTTGGGTATTCAGGCAGCTGTTCTGAAGTTTGTATTCGAAATACACGTTGTGAAAACCAAAGTAATCACAGGGGCAGGAGGTTTGTTGGAACTCTTGCCATACCGGATAATACAGAGGCAGAGTTGTCTAGTATGTCTAAATGTAGGAAACTTTATTTTTTTTAAATAACAAACCCTATATATTCTGTTTCAAAATAGTATGTTGTAAATGTAAAACAAAGAGGATTTTCTGTAAAGAGGATTTTCTGTTAGAGATAAGATTTGGTCTAGAAGATTCATCCTTCAATTGCATGTTCATGCAGTACAAGCACAGAGAGATGTAGACCTGGAGGACAACACAAAATGATTTAATAAAAAAGAAATCCCTTTGGAAGCCCAACAGTTGCTTATGTCATAAGCTAGTTGAGGGAATTTGAAGACCTTAGGGAAGTCAGTGGGAAAAACTTGGAGCTGAAAATATGCCAGTAATTTTTAAAGATCTAGCTAGGGGGTGTATGTATCAAACATGAAAAGAAACATTGGAGAAGTTCCAGTTTCTTGTCCATTGAAAGCGAAGATTTTCTTTCTGCAAGTGATCTCCCAGGGACAAAAAAAGAGTAAAATTCTGAGTAAGATGTGGGTTGTGCCAACAAAAGGCTGTTGGAAAGGCTAATTCTATCCCTTGAAGGGGCTGCAAGTAATTGAGTGAGGCCTTGGGTATGAGCTGACCCAGCAGGTGCGGGCACAGCCCTGGGCTGTTGTTTCCTATGCTTGAAAATCAGCTTGGAGAGGAACTGGAAAAAACATTGGAGACTAAGCAACTGAGAGCCCAGCTTCCGCTGCATTGCTGTCTGTGCCCGGTGTTTTTGTGTTACCGTACGCCAATGCTGCCGTTGTTACAGGAGCACCTTGATACTTGAGATTTTTTTGTGGCTTTCTATTAATGTGGTATTTTTTCTCTCACTTGTTTAATGGTAGGTCGTTTCAGTGTACTTGGTCAACACAAAGTTAAACTGGCTTTCTTTTTGCGTTGGGTAATTAAAATAGTACAGTTTTGCCCTTTTGCAGTAGTTTAGGAAAATAGGCATTTGTGGGGTTTTTATACATGCTAATATTTGTTATGATGTCTCTGCTTTTTTCTGTAGAAAGGCATTTAAGGCATCTTCACTGAAGTGTAGTTACTCAAGAGTTAAACGTGTAACTTGAACAAATTCCTTCTGAAAAGGAGTTCTCCATCCATCTCCCATTTTAGCTGTCAGCATCTGCCACAAAATACTGCATTACATGAGCTGAATAGAAGTAGAACACTTATTCAAACCCCTCATGCTCCCATTGAAGTGGACTGTTGTATATTCTATCACCTATTTACATACCAGGATTTTTTGTATTACCCTAAGTGAACGAGACATTCTATTCCAGACACTTGCTGCCTCTTTGGCAAGATGCATGGTTTGCTTTCCTCAGTTGTCCCCCTGCCGTGGCCACCCCTGCTCTTTCTGCACCCTCATATTTCACCCATTTCTTGTCCAGTGAGCTCCTCAGAGTTTCTGCCTTGTAATAGAGTTGCTCACAAATTACTCTAGCTCTTGGCCTGCTGAAAATTGTCATGTTCTGCCTTCTAGCCTGGCTTTCTAAGGAAAAGATGCTATGCAGGGCTAACTTCAAATTTGCCTGCTTAAATTCCTATGAGTTTTGTGAAAACTGGCATCTTGATCAATGTTAATTAGATTCCGTTGAGGAAAAATAAGCCTTTTGGTTGTTTGGCTTGTGTGCTGACTGAAAAGCAATGGCTCACTCATTGCTTAGGAAATGTGTACTGGCTTGCCAGTTGGCACATACATACCCTATGCCATGGCTTGTCCAAAACTGATTCTTGCCTAGCTGTTAGAACAATTGGATGCAGGGAAAAAGAGAGGACACAAAGTGACCGTGGTGTGAAACTCAGGGAGGCAGGGGGAACTGCAATACCTGATGCCAGTAACCATAGGGGTGGATTTCACAGTTATGGGGAAACCTGATGCATCAGTTTTTCTGCCCACAGAACAGCTTGTAACAATTGGGGATTTTTGTTTTGCTGTTCTTTTATGGAAAGGCTGAAAATAAACTTCACATTGCTACTAATATATCCAAAGATGATATCTGCATGTCATTTATTCAACCAAAAGGCTCTGAGCATAATAAAAATGCTTGAACTGAACTCTGATCCTATAAAAATGCCCCATTAATCCTGTGGAGTGATGTCATCCCCACAGACTTGCTTTCTAAATGAGGAATGTTCATGGAATCGGGCTGGTGTCTGCCTGGGTGGCTGAAGATTTTAATTCTAAATGGTTAGTTGCTGATCACCCACTAGAGGGCTTAACTTCATTGAGGAACTGTAACTACAGTCAAGTTTGAAGGTGTAAGGAGAAAACCTGTTCACAAAAATGTTTCCTTTCCGGATGTCCTGATTCTGCAGGGATGGCAATCAAGCTCTTGTCACTGAGCATCTGTTCTGGCCAGAGACACTTCCACAGAGAAACTGTAAAAGTTTGATCTTCAAGCCCCTAGCGAGGTTCTTGAGCAGCTGTGGAGGTGGACCTTGAAAAGAAGAAATGCCCCTAACCTCGTATCGTCCAGCTCTTTCATTAGTTTCCTTGATGCTAATCCTTAGGAAGATCAGGTGCGCACATTGAAATGTGCCCTCACTTGAATTCTTCGTAGAAAACACCAGTTCAATGAAGGCTGGAGTGAGCTCTACAAAGTACTGTGTTTTCTTAGCGATGACAAGTGGATCCAACTCCAAACCGAGGCAAGGTTGTACCCGTGGCACTGAAGGCAGTTATTTTCTCACCCATTGTTTATAATCCCGATAAACTGCGTAACCTGTATATAAAAGTAAACCCTGTCAAATGTTACGTTGGAAAATTTGGAGCCAAATTGATCTTGACTGTAATATACAAATACATTAACATTGAAATGTTTAAATTTTATTTTTAAAGAAAAATCTGTAACTTAAAAATGTAACGCTAGCATTTTTTAAGTATGGACCAGTGTGCTCTGTAGTGTATTTGTTCTCTTATAAAAGCGATTATCTTCCAATGCATTTTTTCTGCTTAAATTTTTCAGAAGTCAATCTGTGAGTATTCTGCTAGTTGTGTAGATAATGTGTGTTGTTGCCTTGATGTAATATGATTCAATTTTTTTTTAATCTCTTTCTTAATATAGTCCTCTGAGTTACAGTTCAGCATGCTTGGCTGAGTAATTCCTTTTCCTTAGCAGCTAGCACTCTTCATGTGTTTAGGGCTTGCTGCTTCCTACTCTGCCTTGAGCAGAGATATCCAGGCCTATGGAAGCCTAGTGCTCTAACCCCTACAATATCCCTTTGCAGCTGATGAGTCTTGGCCTACTTTTTAAATATTAGAAGTTAAACAACTGTGAAATACCAGCATACACCAAATATTCCCTCAACTTTTCTATAGAAAAAACTATTTTTTAAAAAAAGGGCTATTTTTGATGGTTTCTGCTAAATCAAAAACGTTCATTTATATTAATGGAAAGGTTTATTTGTGAAGCTGCATATGAAGCATGGTGTGAAATACGGTCTTGAGGAATGGAAGAAACCCGGATCAGGTTTCTCAGAAGAGTTTAAAACAGTTTCTAAACCAGACTTAGCTTGAAAGTAAGGTAACAGGGATACTGGTAATGGAATTTGGAAGCTCTAATGCTTGGGTTCATCTCAGCTTGAAAGCAACCTAAGGCATTGTCCTCTTAAGAGTAGGTTTACAGAGAATGAAATGCTGAGTGGCTTCTGCCACTTCCTGTAAGATAGGTGCCCACATAATAGGTCACGGTCTGTGAGTATGACTACATCAGTGTGTTAATTTGGACCAGAAACTCA